GGGGAGTAGATGTGGGTGGGTGGGGATAGGGAAACTGCACACTGAAAACATATTTCCAAAGCTCCTGAGAAAATAAAGATGCTCTTTAAGCATCAGGTGCCCTTTGTATCCTCTATGCTGACTGAGGCCAGTAGTCCAGATGTCTAGTTTTAATGTAATATAGGAAATTCTTCATGTGGACCACTCTAACATGAAAACAGTATTTTTTCTAGCTACATGAGTTAGAGTATCACAGATAATTTTAAAAATAAATTGCTGATGGCATTATTATGAATGGAGAAAATCCAGAAGAATCCCAGATAAACTATTAGAATCAATATGTGAATTTAATAGGATTATTGGATTTAAGATCAATATCCAAAAATATTTATGTATAGCAATAACAATCAATTAGAAAAGGGGAATTTTAAAAATATTTACAAAGGCATCAAAAAATCAAACTCATCGATTTCTACATAGAAACTTATGAAATGTTTGAGAGAAATGAAGACTTTAATAAAGGAAGAAATATTCTGTGTTGATATACTGGAAAACAGCATTTTAAAGATATATTTCTCCACAAATTTACTTATAGATTTAGTGCAATTTCAACCAAAATCTCAAGTTTTTCAGTGTGTGTGAAAATTGACAAGTATATTATAAAATGTATGTGGAAATGCTAAGGGATGTCTCTTCTTGAACAACAGCAAAATTGGAGGACTTGATACTTCTAGATATAAAACAAATTTATAGTAATTAAGATAGTGTGGTGGTGATGCAATGGTAAGAAAAAAGAAGATATGTACAGAAGACAAGCCCAAAAAGAGACATGTATGTGTCCAACCGTATTTGAATAAAGTGCTCCATTTACTTTAATGTTACACCTTTGAATGTGACTGCACCTTTGCAAGAGGAGTCTTATAACTCCAAAGGGTAACTAATAGCAAGAGCCTGCGTGAAACAGAGGAATCTCATTATGAGTCAGCATCAAATGAAGTAAAAGAGCCATACCACGGTTTCCAGAAAGAACTTAATACTTAAATATTTATTTAAGGGAGCCTTGGAGACTATTAATAATACACTTACCAGATTCAGAACTGTCTGAATTCCTTATTTTTATTGAAGTATAATAAATTTCCCTTTATAGAACTTTATAGGAAAGAGCAGGGAACTGTGGACCACCCCTGGGAAAATCGAATCTACCCCAAAACACTTGTTCTTCTTAGACTGATCACAGAACAAACTGTCTGAAGTGGAAACAGAAACATAACTAAACTAAACTGAACTAAAATGGGAAACAAGGTCAGTGAAACATTTGTCTCGTTTTAATTTTCTACTAGGTCTGACAGGTCTTAGAACACTTTCTGGGAAAATAATTATTTTTTTGTTAGTTTCTCTTTGCTATAAATAAGGCAATGAGAATGGCGTGACCAAGAATTGGAATTTCCCTAAGACTTCGTATAGTATATAACACGTATCTTGTACTATGCCACATCCTGTTCTGCATAGACTTAGCGGCTTAGGAAATCAGCTTTATTGCAAGGCTCTATTTTCAAGTCCGTCTCTAGTGTTCTGGATGGGACCACGTGGGCACTTTTAAGGCTCACGTGGGCACTTTTAAGGCTCATTACCAGGTTAAGAACTGCCTTTCTTCCCTTGGGGATGGAGGTGGCGACACAGGAAGGCGTTAATGCTAAAGAAAGAGGCAGCCTAAAGCCTCCACGTGGAATTCTGCGTGATGCTGGAAAGGACTTTACGGGCCGCGTGGAGGGGCAGCCACACCAGCAATTTCTAGGCCCGTCAGTTGGGGACATGTTAAAGCTGTTAAGGAAAAAAACAAAGATACTTTTCAAAGGGTCCAATGAATGCTGACTAGGCCACTGAATGCCACTCAGCTGTCACTCACATCCGGCCTTCCACTTGGTGCAGGAAGAGCTGCGATTCTCGACAGGAGTGAAGCAGGCTGGCACCGCTGGAGGCAGCGGAATGGAGCGCAGTGTCGCGATACCGTTTGCTCAAAAAGGAGCCCTGGGCCTTTGTACCACCCCTTGTGGTTAGGTGCTGATACTCACCCACATGGACCAAGGCTAAGATTTTAGGAAAGTCCCTTTGGACAGGAAATAACCTGTCCACCAAAGGGGGCAGAGAATAAAGTTTGAGTATCAGAAAAGCTCACAGGTGCTTGAACCCCTCTGTGTAATCTGGTTTCTTTGTCTTTCCCCCATGGCAGATGTGGTCTTAGGAACTGAAGATTCACGTATACTTGTTTGTGTCATCTGAAAAATGTTTCCAGCATTCACTAAATCGGGAGTTTTCTTTATGTTCCAGGCAGGCAAAATGTAGATTTCTTCACCTGGCAGGGTCTATCCTGATTGTAGGCTTTTAGCGGCTTTTAAGCAATAAAAATAGATGTGCATTGCAGCTGTGTTTGAGTTTCCTATATCATTTTTTTTCACACCTGGGAGTTGGACACATCCAGCAGTTTTATAAGATGGTGCTTGTAATTGAAGGGAGAAGAAATGAGAGCAGCGTTATTTCTTACCCTGATCAAGCGCTGTGTTAAGCTCAAGATATGTGATTTTGATTGAGGGCTAAAGTGTTAACCCGTAAACACTCGGCTCTTTGGGGTTGATATACTGGGAGAAAAGAAAGCTTTGTAAATGGGTTGATTGCCCAGTGCAGTGTCTCATGTTGATTTAGAGCTTTAAAAAGGAAAAGGGAATTTACCAACATTATGAAATATCTCAGTAGCAAGACGAAGAAATGGTGAGCTGCTCGACGGTGACATAAAGAGGCTATAAGACTATAAGGCCTTACACAAGGCCGACTTTATAGAATTTCCGATGCAGGAGCTGAGGCAGAATGTAAAGTAAGAGAAACTTTTAAAGCAACATTTTCACACTTCATTTCCCTCCTAGTGTTTTGGTTTCCTTAAAATCTTTCCATGTGTGACTGGTAAAAGAAATGTCACATTTCTTTCCTTTTTAAATCAAATGAAGTGTGGCTGCTGTCCCCGCTCGCTTCGGAACTGGCAGGCAGTTCTCTCTG